TCGAGTGCGCTAGAATTTGAAAATACAGGATCGGAGAAAATCTGCCACTTCCTTATANTGTCTCTGTGTCCCTTTGAAATGATTACTGATAATTCATCATCATATTTATGGCAATAAGCCTAGTTTTCAGTTTTCAGAGAGTAACATAGCTTTCGGTTTGGGAAAACTGCGTTCTCACCACTCTCACTCCTCAATGGTAACGTGTACTTCCCCTCGATTATATTGGCTCCAACGGTTCAATAGTGTTGACAATCACCAAAATCGACCAATGGGTTCCAGAGATATGGCAAATACACCCAAATGACCCCAGAGGGTGGGTTCTTTTGTCTAAACCTCTCTAAAAAGGTAATTTAACTTGTTTTGCATCAATCTTAATATAGGGTACTTATTATATGTTGTAGTTTGGATGTTTTTTGTTTGTTTTATCTGAGTGTTCCAGGGTATTCTCTGAATACCTTGAAGGCCCTGACGGTTCGCCACTGGGATTTCACTATAAGTGATGGGTTTTTTTTGGACGGAAACTATCATTTACATTATGGGGGGGTCGGGGGAAAACTCTAAGAGTGAACTAGGGGATTTTAGTATTTTTCAGACAATATTCATGCACACACACCTTTACTGTATAATACACTACAGCAGAGAGAAAACCCTCAAAAGCATAATAGGGCCAATCACACCAGAGCCGGTCAGCTAACCAATCAGAGCAGACTGAGTGGGCGCTGTGTAATGCAGTGCAGTGGAGACGTACGTACATGTCATAACTTCGGTGGTACCTTTGGTGAATCGTACCGATGATTCGGTGACGCTCAGGTATGAACATGGTGTTTGATCGGTGATGGGTTTGGCAAACCTCTTGAATATCCTGTGATTTTGTATCTTTGGTATGATTGAACACGTCATTGCCGAGGTTGAGTCTGCCAGACTGTCTTTGTAATCTTCCCCACAGGAAAAGCATCATGTTTGTTTCATCAGTTTAACCGATGATTCATTGGATTGTTGGTATACCCTGAATAGCTACCACTAAGGTGGGGTTCGACTCTTTGTTTTTTTTATTCTGAGAGGATTTAAAATGGCATCCGCACTCCTACAGTAGGCTTGCCAAGCTATTGTATAATCTATACTTCTGACCACAGCAGCTGTCAAAGTAGATAGAAGTCGTGTATAAACATGGATCAACCTGACAGGGGAACACGTCCAGCACATACATCTTCTCTTCAGTTCCTCGGCTTTGATGTCCCACAACAAAAATACCTGTGTTTTTTCACCCTGCTAGTGAAACCAAAGACCTGAGCGGATTTTGGGGAGGTGGTCGAGGACGGGTTTCTGCTGACCTCTACTTGGAAAAAGCCTTTGAACTGAACACCTCTTAGCAGGCGTGTTGTTGCGTACTGCTGCTGCTGCTGGATGGATGGAGGGTGGGATGGATGACTTGTCCTGAAAAGAGAGGGTCACTGCTCTCCAGAGGGAGCTGAGCTGAGAGGACAGCAGCTAAGTGGCTCCTGTGAAGAGGCCTTCAGACGTCCAGACGGAGGTTAATGGGCCACTTCACCTCTGAGTTTCCAGGTCAGATCTCAAGATAGACATCAGCTCCGTGACACAGACAAACCCCCCGACCCTCTTAAAGACAAGAGGGGTAGATGATACCTTTCTCTTAAAGACAGGAATGTTAAACCCTCTAAGACAACACCTTCCCATGAATGCATTTAAAATGGCATATAGTAGTATTCTACATTTTTCAAATTGCCAAGGCACAC